CGCCGCCGGCTCCGCTCCGTGCGCTCTGCTGCGTGTGCGCGGGTGCGGGAAGCCGGGGCGCGGGCCGCCGTGCGGCCTTGTGTAAGAGGCAACTCAGCGGGCCCCCCAAGAGCTCTCCAGAAACCTCCTGGGTGCCCGGCCTCTTCCTGGTGTCCGCGTGTGTACTTGTTTCTGTTTGCTTTTAAACTAGAGGGAGTGTACCTCTTTGTGAACACTTACCTACACCCTCCTTTTGCTGGTGAGGAGGCCCGGCCAGGCTGTGAGGTCGGCCGGCGGCTGAGCCCGCGGCGTCTCTGCCCCGCGGGCCCCACGCCGGAGCCAGCGCCCCCCAGCCTGGGAGCTGCGCCGCCGCGCTCACGCGTCCCTCTGTGGGGCCTGCTACAGCTGTTAGTAATTTAGAAGAGCTTGAGGTTTAAAAATCAAGCAGCGCTTTCCATTTAGAACACTTAAGTATACATTTTCTCATACACAGTTTCGCTGAAATTAGAAGCCGGCTGTAAGCGCAAACCAGGCCGCGCCCAGCCTTTGGTCAGAACAGCTTGGTGTCTGGCCGTGGTCGTGCCCCGTCGGCATCTTTCACACGTGGGTCTGGAGCGCTGGCCTCACACCCTGGCGGCAGAGGCTGATCCTCGGGCCGGCCCTTTAGAAGCTGTCCCTACAAGACCTCCTTCTCGCGGCTGACTGGGTTGTGTCCACCGAGCACTTGTGTCCTCAGGAAGGTCCTGTCCTCTGAAGCCCTGGGTTCTGATACCCACAGCTGTCCCGTGAGGCTCCGTGTGGGGCACAGCGGGGCCCGCATCTGCCCTCAGCGCCAGCCCGGATGTCTGCTTCTATACCACGCGCGGTGGGGGGGGGGGGGGGGGGGGGGGGGGGGGGGGGGGGGGGGGGGGGAGAAGACGCGTCTCGGACACTGGCCCCGGAGCCCACAGGCCCACCACAGTCCGCACCAGAGCCCCCAGCAGCCTCGGCTGCTCTCCCCCCGGCCCTGCAGTCCGCTCCCCAGAGAGCAGACCTCGAAGCCAGGTGTATGTTCACGTGTCAGTTCTGCGAGGAATGGGATCAGATTTTTCTAGAATATTAGGTAGAGGGGAAAACCAGCCCTACGTTAGAGTTGGAAGCCTAGAAATCTGTGAAATTCCATTTCATTTTCCTCTTTTAGAGAGAGTACCTTCGACTCTCGAGTGGCATGTGATCTTGTGAAGCTGGCTTGGTGGAGCATGCTCCCTGAGACCCCGTTAGCCCAGGCAGCCAGGCACACTTCGGGGGAGGCCGACGCAGAGGTCCCCAGGGGCCCCCAGTGGCTCTGTTCCCAAAGTGCAGATGGGCGGGGGCCATCGGGCGGCAAGTGTGAGGATGGACAGGGTGGGAGCGTCTGCTGCGGCAGGGGCCTGCCTGGGGGCTGCAGTTTGAAGGGCTTTTAAGGCCAAATGCTAAAGCTGCAGACCACAGCAGTAAGACAGCACCGGTCAGCAGGCCGAGCATCACCCTGGTGAGCTGCAAGGAACCCTGCAGAGCATGTGCGACTGCTCTCCTGCCACGCATGCCTCGAGAACAGGGCAGACGGAAGGGCCACCCCAGGGCAGAGAGGGGTCCAGGGAGGCAGCGTGGCCAAAGGCCAGAGAGCCCTGGGGGACAAAGAGGTGAAACTGGGATGAAGCGCTTCACTGGGAGGTAGAGGGTGTGGGCACATGGGGGCTGTGGGGCAGTAGGAAGATCTAGAACAGGCAGCACCACTGAGCCAAGCGGCAGGAGTGGGGTGGCCAGGATGCCGCATACTGCGTCTTAGACCACAGAGGGGCTCCAGCAGGACCAGCGGAGAGGGGCCCTGGCTGCGCGCAGGATGGAAATCAAACGCTGAGCCAGCAGGAGGTGAGAACAGCGTTTACTGAACTTACAGAAAGATACAGAGCATCTGGGAGACGTGGAAAGGAAAGGAGGGAGTCTTGTGTTTGTTCAGGGTCTCGGGGCTTTCTACTGAGGACAGTGGTCTGGTGCACATGTCCCCTCAGGCCTCCAGGAACCGTGAGAACAAAGACAAGGACCCAGGTGCTATTCCTGGGAGTGAGGGGGCCTTGGCGTCGAAGTGTCTAGCACTGGAGGTCTGGAATACGCGTCTGACGGCTTCCAGGCCTTCTCACCTGGTCCTGCCTTAGATGTGGTCTGAGTCCTGGTCCCTTACAAGGAGGGCGGACACCATCTAGATTGCGGCCTGTGTGAAATGGGGGTGCAGGTCCTAGCAGGAAAAGGAGCCAAGAGCTGGTTGTGGGGCAGGCCTTCAGCTTCCCTGTCTCGGGGCACCACGATGCCAGACCACCAGTGCACTGCAACCTGACGACTTCACGACGGCTCCTGGCTCCTGTCCTGTCCCTGATTTTTCTGTACCCGCTTCCTCTCCCACAGGAGAAGTACCCAGAAGTCGTGCAACTCCCAGAGGGGGCCGCCTCCAGCTGCATGGTGGTCCGGAGCGCCCGCCGGCCTGGGTGAGTGCGGATGCCCTGCAGGCCCAGCCTCCCCAACACCAGGTGGCTGCTTGCTCTTAAAAACGAGCATTACAAGTGGTAGAAAACGAATGTCAACTCCCTTCCAGACACCTTGATGTGTCTGTGCAGCCCTGGGGAAGAGCTGGGAGGGGACATGGGGAAACGGCCAGTGGTGCTGGGCTCACTGCAGGGATGGAACGAGCAAGGAGGGGAGGCCGGGAGGAGCTGGGGCTCTATCTTGATGGGCTGACCTGGGGAAAGGCCGGCAGGCAGTAAGTTCTGGGTGAAGGGAGGACCTCTCTGGGGTCCCGTGCACACAGGTGGGAGCCCCCCCACACCCCCTGCACGTGAGGCGCCTTCACAGTCTATGTCAGAGTGCCTGAGGGGCTTTGTTTTCAAACCTTCAAATGGAGCCGTAACTATGTGGACTTCTCAGCCTTGCCTTTGTTACTCTACATTATTTCCAAAATGAGCTTCTGGCAGTGTGTGGAGCTGTACACAGTTCATTCATTCTCGGTGGTTCTACTCTGTCAGCTGTTATTTCTGCTTTCTTCGGGTCTTGGGCACTTGGGTCATCGATTGTTTTCCACTATTTCTCACACTCCTGTCCATGTCACTGGCCACTTAGAGGACCCAGGCTTGTGGCAGGAAGTGAAATTCCTGGCCTCCCATCACTGCCGATGCTTTTCAGACTACGCTGTCCGTTCAGGCTCCACGCCAGTAGGTTTTCTGCATCCTGTGTCACCCGCACGCCCACACCACCACGTTGTGGGTCCAGAACAGCATCTTGCTGGGTCTTGGGGTCCATTTCCCTCTTCATTCATGTCACACGCACTTCGCTGAGCAGACGTGGCGCGTTTCCGTGCCAGACGTCTTCAGGAGCACCTCCTCGGGGAGGGTGACAGGTGCCACACAGGTCACACTTCCCACCTGACTTCAAACAGCACTTAGGAAGGCATCTTACATCTTTCAGGTTCGAGCTGGTCATCGTTTGGAGGGTGCAGATGGATGAAGAAGGGAAGGTTTTGCCAAAGCTGGACCTTCTCCCCAAAGCACCACAGCAAGGTAGGGGCCTGGCCAGGGGGTGTGTGTAAGGATTTACTGTATCCAACAGGCGCCTGCTACTGTGTTCTGGTTTTCAGGGCAAGAATCAAAATCTGAACATCTCAGTGTATTGTTTATATCGGTTTATCAGTGATCAGAAAGCAGAGGCGAGGAGAGGCTGTTCCCTCCCCACCTCTGGTGTGTGGGTCCATCCCCACGGTCACAGAAGTCGTCGGCTGGGGAGGGAGGGTCTCAGCGGGGCGTCTCAGCCAGTCTGCTCTCCCTGCAGCTCTGGAGCTGGACCGGAACCGAGTCCTGGAGACCGCGCCTCTCAGCTTCCGAGCCCTGCTGGGTGTGCTGGGCATTGAAGCCGCTCTCGAGAGCCTGATAAAGTCACTCTGCACAGCGGACCCCAGCTAGTTCCTGGCAAACACGCAGGTGTGTGACCGTCTTCCACAGAGAAACGACACCTTTAGGACAGATTGTGCAGTTTTAGCACATTCTATATCATCCGTCAGAACGTGGGGTAATAGCCAACAGCGACTGCAGTACAAAACGCCAGACCAGCAGCACGTACAGTGCCTGGGGCAGCTGGCGGGCTCGGCTGGGGCAGCGTGCAACTCTTGATCTCAGGGTCGAGAGTTCAGGCCCCACGCTGGGGGTACAGAATACTAAATAATAATAATAATAAACTTTCTCAAAAGTTAAGATTATTTTTCCTATATTTCCTATTATTATTTTAAAAATAATAATAGGAATGTCCATCCTTGGATTTAGGGGAGCAGCTGGTCCTACCTCTCACCAAGTCTGAGGATGGAGGCGCCCTGGAGGTCAGCCCTCCCCTTGCCACCCAAGGGCCCCTACTCCTTGACATTCCTGACGCCCAGGGTGACACACCCACCTTGCCATCCTGCCCCACAGAGTAGAACTCACTCTTCTTGGTCTTGACATCCAAGCGCAGCAGTCAGCTTTGAAAATGCAGTGCCACAGACTTGACAACGCCCGCACCCCACCCCCCAGGCGGCACTGGCCTCGGCCGTCCCATTTAAAAGGCTAGAATCGGTAGAAACATTGCTTGAAACCAGTCAGGGAAGGAGCCGCACTGGAGTGTGAGGCGGAGACCACACAGGGCAGGACCTAGTCGGTCGCCATGTGGATGCTGGTGGTTTCAGTCAGGACGGGCCTCAGAGGGGGCCCAACCCACCTCCTTGCAAGGCCAGGGTGCTGTATACACCCATCCTCACACAGGCCAGCAACAAGGAGCTACCTCAGGCCGAAACAACAGAGATGCTTCCGTCCACACATGTCCCTGCAAGGGGTGTCTCCACAGCCCCCCAATGCCCACGGGTGAGACATGTGTCATTTGAGTATCTTTCTGAACATCTGAGGAACGAAGTAAATGTTAGGACAAAGCTGAATAAATTCTAGGAGAGCTGGCTTGATTCAAACAAGTATAATTCTCAAGTTATCACAAAATTCCCCACAAAAATTTACAATCAGCAAAATATTCTTATTTTTCACATAGCATTTTCATACAATACCGTGGTTTTGCTATTATAATCTTATGTTACAATAAACCTTCATTAGTCCCTCAAAACGATGATATAAATAATCTGTACAACCCACCATAGAGTAAAAAACCAAAGCCAAGATTCCCCACAGTCTTCTTAGCAGCCGGGCACACTACGGTGACCCCAACAAGAACCCTCTCGGTGCCAGCCAGGAGTCGCTCATCTCTGCAGGAGCAGAGCTGGCGGCTCCCCCGAAGCACCGGATGCGAGGTGCGCAGCCGCCCCAGCTCCCGCGCCGCAGCGGCAGCCACACGGCACGGAACGCCTCGGCTCCCCTCACGTCAGAGAAAGCGCTCGTGAGTGGTGTCCACCCCTGACCTGAGTCCCATGCTCCCTGAAGACCCTGTGCAGAGCAGTGGCCGTGGCACCTCCACAGAGACCTCAAGTCCACGCAGCTCAGGACCCTCATCCGCACCAGCCCCCCATCCCTCTGTGCGGCAGAGCCCACGAGGCCTGTGCTGACCGGGGGCTCGCACGGACAAAGCGACCACGTAACTCAGCTGGGAAAGTTCCAGTAGTATCCATGTTTCCTTTCAAGACCAAACTGTAAGATGTACGCGACAATTCAAGTTTTCTATGTTAGCGTCTGGTAGCAGGAGATCCAAACCTTGGGTCTTAAGGCTTTTACATCAGAGATTAGACATCAGCCCTGGGTGGGGAGGAGGAGCAGCCCAGAGCAGAAGGTGTGGGGACACCACACGCAGCAGCGCTCAGGTCGGACACTCCTCGTCCTTGAAGGTGTTTCTGCGGCCCTTCCATGCGGGGTCACCCAGACACAGCCCCACCTGGCCAGGTGGTTAAAAAGCAAAAACATTCACAGCCAATGGTCACCCAACACAACAGAAAACAGCTCTCTCATTCAGCCTGCACATTCTGTGTTCAAGTTTCGAAGACCCCGCAGGAAGCGCCTAGACCTTATGGAGAACTAACGTGCAGTCCTCACTCTCCTTGTACCTGGTCGGCATCACGGCTGCGTCTTTGGCGTGTACAGTCTTTGAGTAGAAGTTGACTATCTTGCCGTCCAGTTTGTACTGGTGAGGAATGCTCTCGTAGGGCTTGAGGTCGAGGTCCAGCACGGACACTGAGAAAGCAAACCTGGATCTCGACGAAGGGACAACGGGCCTCTGCTCGGAGCTGGAAGCGGAAGAGCAGCTTCAGGACACATGAACCCCAAATCCTCACCCTGTTCGGGAGACGCATCCTGCCTATGCCTGCCGTGACACCCCCCACCACCACCGCACGGACAGGAGGGCTAGCAGGTATCCCCCGGGTCCCAGGGGCCCCTGACCGGGACTCAGCAATCACTAACCCCGAGAGAAAGGAGAAGGTCGACCTGGCCTTTCCTCAAGCCGATGGAGCAGACTTCCCTCCCCCGCCTTTTCCCACATCTGGTGCGAAGCCCATGTTCCCTGGGGCACGTCACGTTAGGAGAGCGTGCTCTGATTTCATGCTTTAGTCTCAAATCTCATCTGCGGGGCTCGATGTTTTGTTTCTAAGGCTTAGTTTTGTGGGTTTTCTAAACATCAGAAGCAGGCGTGCTTATAACAGAAAATGAACAATTATTTATATTAAAACCAACCACTCTGAGGCTAATTCTGAATTTTGTACTCAAATAGCGGTGCCATCCACCCCACTCAGCTCTCAGAGTGCTCGGTAATATTCTGCATCCAACAGCGGCTAAATATAAAAGAGCTCGGTTTAGCCCAAGAGAAATAGGACTCCTAGTTTCCCATGCTTACTACTGTTGGAGATTTAGAAAGCATCCCAAAACAACACGAATTTCAAAAGCTCCTGCCTGGGAGGGGAAGACCAGTGAACACGCTCCCGTCCTGACAAAGCTCATCAAGGCCGAGACTCTCGCTTAACCCGTCCTGAAATACCCTCTGTCGGAAAGGGAGCCGTGGCTCGGCTGCTGGGCCGAAGCTACTCCCTCCTGAACGGCAGAAGGTCCCGCCTTCTAAGGCCTGAGCTCCAGGCAGCGGGGCCGGGACAGCACCTCTCGGGCCCCCAGCAGGTTTCCCACGACCAAGCCGGCACCTGACGAGGTGACACGCACACAGACAGGCATCGCCTGGCACACAGGCTGCCTGTGTTTGTGTGTCCAGCACAAGTTCCGGGGAGCCCAGGGCGCAGCTCCGGTGCCAAAATGCTCCTGCGCTGCGCCCCGGGACTCCTGGGACAGGCGTCCCCGCCCGTCCGTGTCTGCCAACCAGCCAGCCCGCCCTGCACATTCCCGCACGTTCCTGAGTGCGTGCCTATTTGAGGAAGGGCAGCGGGTGACAGCCGCATGCTTCTGTCATCAGACACGGTGGCTCAGTCCAGTGAACGCGCACTGCAGCCACATCCTCCCGGGATCCCAGGGGTCCTCGTCTAAACAGAACAACCTTTTCGGATTTCAGCTACACCCTAGGAACATCCTTCCGCGTTTCCTATCCGCTCCGTGCCTGCCAGGGAGCGGCAGTCCTGGGAATGTTTAGTTCAAAAGCATCTGAGAAATGGGTGGCTGGTAGCCAACGATAAGGTCATCTTGACCCGGGAACACATGTCAGAAGAATGTGGAACATTCCACAAACACTGTGTGTAGGGTTTGGCACTCTGCTGATCAATGCTGAAGATGCCATCTAATTAGCAAGAGAAGATTATCATGGTCATCCTGAATTCCTAAAAAAAGGCAGAGGAGGGGACCGGACAAGGACAATAATGTCCAGGGAGAGCTGCTGCCGACAGGAAGCTCAACAGGGAATGTGCCGCCCCACAGGCCTGGAAGGGCCGCGAAGGCTGGTGGATCGGGACCTCATGGGGGATATGCAGCTTCTCAGGACTCCAAGCATCAGTCAGCACATGGCGCCTTGAGAGAAAGGAATTTGTGCCACAGGATCCAAGCTGCTTCTAAGTCTTTGGAGTATTTTCTTAGAAAAGGATAGTAATCTCTAATAGGACAATCTTAAGATATTCTCGGTAAATGTCTTTCCAACCGAATCACAAGCTTCAAGAGAGCAGCAGGAGTTAGCAAGCCATGGTGGGTTACTAGGTGTCACGTAGCCCACAACATCAGCCTGTCAGCGGAAGTGGCCTGCCAGGGTGCTGTAACCACAGGGACACGAGCACGGGACCCAGCAGGCAGCTCACCTTGTGTCCTGCAGGCAGGGGGAGAGCGCGATCATGATGGAGCAGTCCTTCGCAGTCATGGCCACCCGGTACTGCTGAACCTGCGGCGGGATGGGGACGTCAGCACCGGGACCGTACCCCCACCACACGCACCCAGCACCTGGCATGGTCCAGAAATCAGCTACCGGTCCAGGGCTAAGTGAGGAATCCCCAGGCCAGCCCGCCCTGCCCGCCCTGCCCTCTCACGGCAGGCGGCACGCAGACCCCGACTCCAAACACCAGGATGCAGGCTTGTCTTCAGCAAGGCAGCCAGTGTGCCAGCTTGGAAGTCTGCTACCTGGGCTACTGGGGTGCTAGGCGGCCTGACGGTGCTGAGCTCTGTCCCACACACGCCCAGCGTGGCCTGCTCAGGTCACACCACCAGCACGAATGATGCTGCGGGGGGAGGGCTGCCAGGCTCGGTGTGAACTCCCTTCACCCCCAGAGTGACCCACAACCGGCCCACTCAGCAAGACCTGTGATAGCAAGGCTGGGTTCAGACCCAGGCACTGTGGCTCTCAACACTGGCCTAGACCACGTGCTCGCACCAGCCTACAACCATGTCTGCCGGGGCCGCTGGCGCAAACCACACACAGCGTGCTCTGGGGACCCAACTCGTGAGGCCGTGTGTGCCCACCTACATGGCAGACATGTAGGTTCTGGAAAGCATCACCTCAGCGTAGTCTGGGGCATTTACCCCCCCCCCTTTGATGTCTCACATTATTATCTGAGTTTTTTAGACTGAATAGCTCTCACTTTTACAAAAATAATCACAAAAAAGGAAATGGGCCTTACAGGCTGTCACTGGCCTCAACGTCATGTGCTGAATGATCAGTCTCACCTTCCATCTGAGTCCCACCCCGTGACAACGTCCAGTTCCCACCTTCCCTGCGCACAACCATGCAGGGCACCTCGGGCCAGATGGTGGCTTTTGGGGGGCCTACAAAACCTCTTCTATACTTGGTTCATTTGGCTACGAAATCAGGTTATTTCACAAAACACACAAAAAATTCAGTCCAAACGAATTAAAGAGATAAGCGTTTTTTAAAAAGTATAAAATAGGGCGCCTGGGTGGCTCAGTGGGTTAAAGCCTCTGCCTTCGGCTCAGGTCATGATCCCAGGGTCCTGGGATCAAGCCCCACATCGGGCTCTCTGCTCCACAGGGAGCCTGCTTCCTCCTCTCTCTCTGCCTGCCTCTCTGCCTAATTGTGATCTCTGTCAAATAAATAAATAAAATCTTAAAAAAAAAAAAAATTGGGGTCAGAGGACCCTAACTTGCTAGGGTTTCCCTGGCCCCAGCAGAAACAAACCCAAGATCCTCTCTGGAAGAAGACATTATCCTAAGCCTTGCATTATTTCTAAAATAATTATAAAATGTAGTGATTGACAAACAAGTTAAAATATCCAGGTATAATAGAACATGACCTGCGTGAACACCTCCAGGAAACCCCAGGCCCAGGCCAGCAGAGGCACACACGGACGCAGCCACTGGAGGTACCAGACAGACCTGCTGCTCTGTCCAAAGGATGAAAGACAAAATCAAGAACTTGAGAGGAAAGCTAGAAGATAAAAATGAACCTCATGTAAATTCTAGAACTGAAAAAATACAAAAACCAATTATTAAGAATGCAAGAGATAGTTTTAACAGATTAGAAAAAACTCAAGAGACTTGCTACAATGGAAGACAGGTCCAAGTAAAAAATATCCAGAATGAGGCATGGAAAGTAAGACAGCTGGAAAATACCAAGGAAACGGGCAGAAATCAAATCTGAAGATGTTAAGGCCAAATATATTCCAAAACTGAGGAAAGACATCAAGCCACAGACTGAAAAACGACTCCAAAAAAACACAATCAGTTATACACATCACCAAACACTTAAGAATGAGTCACCAGCAGACCAACACAAAGGAAACGTTAAAGAGTACCTTCAGACAACAAGATCATTCTAGATACAAGCTCCAGGACGCAGGGCAGGATGAAAAGCAACCCAAGAGAAGCAATCGTGGGTCGAAGAACACTGACCCTGTGTAATAACACCTCCTTGAGTTTAAAACAACGGAATACACAGCAATAGAATTTAAGTCAAGATAAGAGTAAAACATACTCTAAGAATTTTGCACCGTCCAAAAAGAGAGTGAAGGTACTGGACATTAGACTTTTGTAAGTCAACTGCTTGCTGCAAAGGTTAGGCTAACTACCAAGAGAAAAGCAAAAGACTCTGTAGATTCCAACAGAGTGAGGAAATGGAACGATTAAAAAAATTACCCAAAAGATTCTAAAAGAGGAGAGGACAAGAAACCTACCAAAACAGGTGGTAAAGGATTACACCCAAGTATACGTTCACAAAACATCAGAAAGGATAGAAAACCAAACCATAAATGCAAAGACAAAGAAAACAAAAGAACAGAAAAGATATGCAGTGCAACTACTAACCAAAAGAACCTACAGACGTTACACTAGTATCACACAAAGGAAACTTAAGGTAATACCACACATAAACACAGTAAAAATTATAAATGACACTTGAAAATGAAAAATTTGATTTACCAGGAAAGTGTAACAATTTTTTTTAATATTTTATTTATTTATTCGACAGAGAGAGAGATCACAAGTAGGCAGAGAGGCAGGCAGAGAGAGAGAGGAGGGGAAGCAGGCTTCCTGCTGAGCAGAGAGCCCAATGTGGGGCTTGATCCCAGGACCCTGGGATCATGACCTGAGCCGAAGGCAGAGGCTTAACCCACTGAGCCACCCAGGCGCCCTGAAAGTGTAACAATTTTAAGGCAACTGACAATATAGCCTCAAAACAAATAACAAACAAAATTCCACAATTATGTAAAACTTCAAAACATCCTTCTTTTGAAAGAAGCAGACAGTAAAATAAGGTGATAGAAGATGCGAACACAATTAACCTGACCTAATGGGAAGATATAAAACACTGCACCCGACAATTTAAGAAGATACCTTTTTTTCAAGTATGCACAGAAGCATTTTTCAAATAAATTGATCTATAAAAGCAAATCATAATACATTTCAAAGGATCAAAAGCCAATCTTAACAAATTTCCAAAGGACCATATGGACTGTGTTCTCTCACCATAATGCAATGTTGCTGGTAATCAATACAAAAAAGATAGTGAGAATCTCCATGTGTTTGGTAATTAATTCCTTCTAAATACTTACATGGGTCAAAGGAGAAATCTTAATAGTAATCAGAGCATATATTTTAAACGAATAGTGTTGAAAATATAGCTTGTGGAATGAAGCTAAAAACACGTTTACCAAAAAAATAGTGTTAAATACACATTTTAGAAAAAAGTCTAAAACTTAATTAGATAAGCATATCAGAAGTTATAAGAAGAACAAATTATCCAAAGAAGAAAGGAAAACAATGCAGAAATTACTAAAATAGGAAAGAATCACTCAGTATACTAAAGGATCCTACGTTAATTTTTATAAAACTAACAAAAATGATAAACTCTTTGTAGTATGGATTAAGAAAGAAAACAGCAGACATCAGGAATAAAAGAGCATTTTCAGATCTTATAGAACATTAAAAGAATATAATCAAAAAACTATATGCATAAATTTTGAAAATTTTAGATGAGACAAATTTCTAGAAAGATATGCTACTAAAATTGACAAAAGAAGAAGAAAATCTGAAACTGAGATCCCAATTTAAAATTTTTCTTCAAAGACAATGATCAGCCCAGATGGTTTTAACTGTGGTTCTACAAAACATTTAAGGAAAAAATAATACAATTCTTACTTCACCTCTTCCAGAGAACCAGAAAATGAGCAAATATTCTTCAAATGTTTTATGAGGCAGGCATACCCTTGATACCAAGGCCTAACAAAGACATTACAAAAAACTCACATCACTCATAAATATATATGCAGAAGAAACCCTAAACAAAATACTAGCAAACCAAATACATAAAAGTAATAAATTACTGTGAAAATTGTATGGTTAACTACATTAACAGAAAATAGACAAGTCCTATGATCATCTAATAAAAACAGAAAAAGCACTGATAAAATTCAACAATCTGCTACTGAGAAAAACTTTTAACAAATTAGGAACAGAATGGAACATCCTTAATTTTTAACTTACTTATTTAAAAAATAGATAAAACAACCCCCCCCCCCAAAAACCTACAACACACAATGTACTTAGTGGTAAAGTGGGTTCTCGGAGAATGGGAACAAAGATTGGAATTCCCACTGTCACAAACTATATGCAGTTAAGCACAACAAAATAAGTAAAAGGCCTAAGGATCAGAAAGCAAAAAAACAAATTTGTAGAAAGTATGATTCCATACAATGAAAATCCAAAAGCTGTAAGTGAATAGTCAGAATCAGTGAGTTTAGGGCACCTGCGTGGCTCTGTCGGTTAAGAGGCTGACTTTGGCTCAGGTCCTGCATCAGGCTCCCCACTCAGTGTCGAGTACACTTCCTCTCCCGCTGTGCCCCGCCAATGCTTTCTCTCTCAAATAAATAAAAATCTTTTAAGAAAATAGAATCACTGAGTTTAGCAAGGTTGACACATATAAAGTCAAATAGAAAAATCAATTGCAGGGACACCTGGGTGGCTCAGTCAGTTAAGTGTCTGCCTTTGGCTCAGGTCATGATCCCGGGGTTCTGGGACTGAGTCCCACATTGGTCTCCTTGCTCAGCAAGGAGCCTGCTTCTCCCAGTCTGCCCCTTCCCTGCTTGTGCTCTCAAACTTTGTCTCTGACAAATAAAATCTTAAAAAAAAAAATAAAAAAAAAAAGATTGCATTCCTATATGTCCACAACAAACATTTTAAAATGAAATTTTTTAATGATTTATTTTAGAGACAGACAGTGAGAGAAACACATGCACAAATGTGGGGAGGGGCAAGGGAGAGGGACAGGAACACAGAGACTCCCTGCTGAGCAGGGAACCCGATGCGGGGGGCTCGATCCCAGGACCCTGAGAACGTGACCTGAGCCCAAACCAAGAGTCAAACACAACCAACCGAGCCACCCAGGTGCCGCTAAAATGAAGTTGTGTTTTTTTTTTTTAAGATTTTATTTATTTA